ATGTCCAGCGAGGCTGCCCCTGTGGACGTCGGCATTGCCCAACGGCCTTATAAACTCAGAGCAGTGCACTGCCCTACACCCAATACCCAGATGGAGGAGTGGCTAAGTTAAGGTGCCTCTCCGATCATAAACTGCATTTGAGAGCTCATGTATACTGTAAAAGAAAAAGAAAAGGAAGGAAGGAAGGAAGGAAGGTGATCATAAACTGCATTTGAGAGCTCAGGTATACTGTAAAAGGAAAAGAAAAGAAAAAGAAAAGAAAAGAAAAGAAAAGAAAAGAAAAGGAAAGAAAAGAAAAGAAAAGAAAAGAAAAGAAAAGAAAAGAAAAGAAAAGAAAAGAAAAGAAAGGAAGGAAGGAGAGAGAGAGAGAGAGAGAGAGAGAGAGAGAGAGAGAGAGAGAGAGAGAAAGAAAAAAAAAACTTTGCCTGTAACCCAACGAAATTCAGATCTACACATAGGTACCACAGCACTCTTTAAATTAATATTCTGTCTAACCAATTGGAGTGGATGGGGAATGATAAAGCTCAGCTAAATCAATTTTAGGAGGAAAGTATAAAATGTGATGGTGTCCTACCCCCAACACACTGCGATTATCATCCCAGCACTTGTAATTACTGGACACTAATCCTTCAACATCATTCCCACTACAGAATCTCTAAAAGATAGTTGGCTCGACCTCAGGCTTATGTGTTTCTGATAACTGAAGGAGAAGATGGCAAAGAGGCCATTTGGTTCACTCTCCTGTCCACGAAAGGGCTCAAAGGCTATGCGTGCTCACTTCAAATGAAGTCATACACATGGTCACTCAGACACTGACAAGGCTGGAGGATGAAGATGTGCAACTAAAAATTTAAATCTGGATCCATCCCTGGATCCCCATGCCTATAGGCACTGTAATTTAATGTTCATTTTAACATCTTGAAGTCGTCTTATAAATAGCACAGGCTGCTTTGTATTTTTATGTGTCGATTACATTAATTTATTAAATGTAAACATTTATAACCTGCCACGATTTTCTCTTATTTTGGCCTTTATTAACAACAACAATAACAACAACAAATACACCAAGAATCCCAAAAGACCCTGAAAGCATCAGATGCCTTGTTCAACCCTGAGAGCCTCTCCCCATCTCTCCAGAAAGTTGGTTCCTTCATCAGTGTGTTAACAACAGAAAGGTCCTTTCAATACGGAACTGAAACCACCTTGCTGCTAGTTCCACAGAGGTCTTGAGTCAGACCTCCAGGACAGTTGTGCACCTTTTGGCTCCTGCATATGCCTTTCACCTCCGTTCACCTCACTCCCCCAGTTGTCATACAGGCAAAGCCACAGGAGGAACCCCAGACTTGGCATCATGAGCTGTCACTGAAACATGCCTGATCTGCCTCAAGGCCCCAGACTTGGCATCACGTGTATGTAGCACCTCTGAGCTGTCACTGAAACATGCCTGATCTGCCTCAAGGGCTTAGGCATGCACAAGATAGGAGGGTGGACACTAAAGCAAGATACTTATTCCAATAAGAAAGGCAAACAGAGATTCTAGGTATCAGCCAATAGCGAATACAGCATGTGGTCCAGGTTTCTAGAGATTCTGATTCTAGGCATCTGAGGTGGGCGCTGCCCCCCATCACTATCACCTCAGGTGACCATAGTGTGAGAAACTTGGGCTTAATCCAGTCCCTTGGGACATATGCCCCACCCACCCACCTCTGCCCACCCAGCAGATTGGCAGCTGGACAGCTCACACATCAGGCAGCCAGAACACCTGGTGCAGCCCTCGCCACCTCGGCGCCTGCTGTGGTTGGATTTATTACATGCCCACATTGCATCCTATTGTGCTCTGAGAACGAGAGCTTCCACAGATGTGCTCTGACTAGGCTCCACTAGATTTTCGGGAGTGGAAGAAACTTTCATCTTCCACAGCAAAACTATGTAGCCCCCTCGAAGGGCTCAGTCTTCTTCTCTCAAGGAAAAACCTCCAAGCCTCATAGAGAACAGGTCTGAGCCTAAGCTACCATCTCATTCTCATCTTCCAAGGGTTCTGCTCCATCCTCATTGAGTCCCTTGCAGTAAGGATGCCCCAAGCCTCAGACGCACTTATGAAAAGCAGTAGGGGCAGGCACTAATGTCCAGGGGAAAGCTGCCACATGCACCACCCAAGAGCCAGGAGCAGGTAGGACAAGGCTAAGATGCCTGCCTGATCAGGTCACTAAAGCAAAGGCGGAGAAGTGGGACAAAGGCAGGAGAGAGCACAGAGCCACTGCTGGCTCCTAAGGTGCCTTTGTGCATATGCGGAAAGCATACTTCTCTGGGCAGAGCAGTCCCACATCAGAGTGCATGACTTGGCAGGTGGTGGAGAGGCTAGATTTTAGCCACCACTTGTCTTGGATGCCCTTGTGCAGTAAACCACTGGAATAACTGTGACAGCCCTGCTCACAGAGAGTAGCAGGAGAAAGAGACAGAAAGGAAGAAGAAAGGCCACCAGGCTATTCAAGGCCCATCACAACTGCCCCCTACACTATTTCCACTGGGCCCTCACAGAAGCCCCACCCAGACAGGCCAGCACATTGCTGCCACAGTCATCCCCACCCCTCCTCTCTACCTAGACTGTCTGGTCACATCCCATCCATCCTTCGAGGCCTTTTCAAGTACCCCTCTGCCAGGAAGCCTTCTCTGAGCAGCCTCTTCCCTTTCGGAAGCATCGCACAATGCTCTTCATATTTGCTCCCTTAGTGGGTCCTCAGCAATTCTCTCAGCCAGTGGCAGGCCACTTTTCTGGGCCACTTGTCCCCTTCTGTCTGACTCTCCAGGGAGCACCTGGCACAGGGCAGTAGGCAGTAGGCATTCACTGTTTATGTATTGATTAATTGTGATGGAGAAACATGAAACGGGCTGAAAAAACTCCTGAGTGGCCCTAGTTTGACCACCAGTGATCCCCGGGGGAACCTGGAGAAAAGACTCCATCTCCCACCTCAGTTTCCTATGTATGAGGTGCAGTGGATGGCTGGATAATCTCCCAGGGTTCTGCAGGCATTGAACCCTAGGCTTACAAGACTCAGAGCTCCTGAGCCTCATCTGCCAGGTCTTCACCCGTTACCCCAGAGTCTAGCACAGTACTAGGCCCAGAAGAGGCAACAATATAGTATATGGATTGCCTCAGTCTCTATGCTTTGACAACCCAAGCATTTAACTTGTTTTATTTAGCAAACCATAGACATCAAAACTGGCCAACTCAAGCAAAAAAGTCCTACTGTGAAAAGACCTACTATGGGGTTTCTAATGCAATCAGTGAGGAAGCTGGAGAACCAAACTTGGAAAACAGGGGTGTGTGTGTCAAGCTTGGAAAACAGGTGTATAGGGTGTGTGTGTGGTATTTCCACAGCTGAAGGCAGGCCCAAGGAAGAGCTAAGTCAAGACACCCACTGGCTCCTGGATACCTCTTTGACCACAGTCACTGCCTAACCCTAACTAGTTGCTGCCAGGACACAAATATACTCTGATCTGTAACCAGCTCAGAGCTTAAGTTCCAAGTGGGGCATGTGATTGATCCCACTTAAGTCAAATGACCATACCTTAATTGCCATAAACAGAGAGAGGGGGGCCCATGCATTCAAATCCCTCAATAAGAAGGCTTTTCAAGTAAAAGGCAGCCAAGAAACGACAAATGGCCATTCTGATGACCCTGTTTCCCTGACAAAACAGATTCTCTCTTCTAGGAATTTGGGAAAGGAGCTGTAGTGTGTTGAAAAGCGGGTCCCCCCAAAATTTATCCACCCAGAATCCCAGAATGTTAACTTATTTGGAAGAAAGGTCTTTGCAGCTGGAGTTAAGGATTTCAATCATCCTGGATTAGGGTGGGCCCTAAATACAATGACAAACGTCCTTATAAGAGACAGAAAAGAAGACACAAAAACACTGAGGAGAAACAGGCAGAGATTGAAGTGGTGCAGCTACAAGCCAAGGAATGCTAAAGATTGCCTGGAGCCAACAGAACCTCCAAAAAGAGCCAACCCTGCTGACACTGTGATTTCAGACTTCTGTCCTCCAGAACTGTGAGAGAAAAAGTTTCTGTTGTTTTAAGGCTCTAGTTTGTGGTAATTTATTATAGCAGTCCCAGGAAAACAACATAGGGGCCCAGAGATGTCAAGTAGAGGCTGGTGGGAGTGCATTAGAGCCATGGGAAGCTGAAGCAAGGAAGACCCCTGGGCTCTCACGGGCTCACACAAATGCCAGCAGCCCTTGGGTTCCTGAAGGTGCCCAGTAGCACCCAACGACTTCCCTTTCTTGCTTGAGGCTGACTAAAGCCACTATTTGTGACTTCTACCAAAACTAAAGCTCTCATATATGATTGTGTGTAGCCTCCCCTCCAAGTAGGAGTACATGTGAGGTGCAGCAGGGGAAGAGAGGGCCAGGTAGAGTCCACTGAGACAGATGGCAAGCACTGGTCAGCCAGCTAAGGTGGGTTCTGCCTCTAGAGAGTACCTCTCTAGAGAGGGGACAGTGTCCTAGGCAGAGTCCACTCTGAGGACAGCAGGCCAGGCACCAAGACTGAGGCCACCACCCAGATATCATGGGGAGGAGGCTAAAACTTTGCTGAAAGGTATTCATTTTGTTTTCAGCCCCACCCCCATAATCTGGTGCTGTTGCTTAGTGATTGTTTTCCCCTAGATACAAAGTTGGGGATGTCTAGGCCTCTATTGCTCCAGAGTGAGCACCAGTGACCAGAGTAAAGAACTTGACATGCAGAGTGAAAACTTGCTAGAATAGGTGCCTTTACATCACTAAGGAGAAGAAAAGGATGGGGAATAGGGATGTTTGCTACCCTCTCTCCTGAGACAGGAAAGCCCTGTCCCCTAACTACTAGGGGGCCTCAGAGGCTATAAGAAAAGAGACGGCAGTGAAAACGGGGTGGGGGTGGGAGCCGCGAAGATTCCCTGAAAAGAGATTCTCACCTTTCCATTACTTTGTCTTCGGATAGTGTTGGGGGTGGGAAATTATTGGGGATGGGGAAGTCGTCCAAGATTCAAGGTGAGAAATCATCCAGTCTTTTACTTTCCACGCTGCTCCCCCGCCCCCGCCCCTGTCTTATTCGGATAGGGTTTTCCCCAGGTTCCAAGGGCGCTGCATCTCGCAACCATTCATCGGGCGTTGAATCACATAAGTACTGTGCCAAGTGTCCCACGAACATCATCTCACATCATCCTCAAGAGAACAGACTTGCGCCCCATTTGAGAGAGGGGGAAAGTGAAGTCAAATCTCTTGCCCAAAGTCACGCGGCCACTCAGCAGCCTAAGAGAGGAAGCAAACCCAGGATCCCAGCTGGCTCCAGGTTTCCGCAACTCGCTGTGGCTCTCACACTTTCTTGCTCGCGCCCCGCCTCCATCCCACCCCAGCGAGGGGCGCCCGGCCCGCCCCCGGAGGAGCGTGCCTCGGCCACTAATCGCGGCCGCCCCCGCCTTCGTTTTCACTGCCTGGAGACGCCCGGCCGGCTTAGCCCGGAGACGGCTCCCGGGGACGCGCGACGCCACCGATTGGCCCGCGGTAATTACGGGCACGCTCCGGGAGGGGGGAGGGGCGGGGGCGGGCCCCCGCGAGCATAAATTATGCAAATACCCAGGCGCCGCACGGGGCTGACCTGCCGCCTCGCTCCATTCACGGGGGCTGCCTCGGGGCGGAGGTGGCCAGGGAGGGGGGCGCCCATTGTTGTGCCGGGTACTTAAGGGGTCCTGAGGCCGGTCGTGTGCCACACTCGGTACTCACACGAGCTGATCTGATTGCCGGCGAGATCACTCGGGAGACCGGCTGGAGCGTGGCCCCTGCAGGCGAGGCGAAGGAGGCGAGGCCAAGTTCCCGGTGCGCCCCTGCGCCCTTCCAGGCCTTCAAGCCCTCAGCGGGCAGAGTAAGCCCGGGCCGCTCGCAAAGTAAGTGCGCTCCGGCAGCCCTCAGCCCGGGCTCCTGCCCTCTCAGTGTCCTCTTATCTGTCCGTGGGTCCTGCACGCAACGATGCCAGCCCCTCAGGAGACCTGCCTCTCGGACCTCGACTGTGCCAGTAGCAGCAGCAGCAGCAGCAGCAGCAGCAGCAGCAGCAGCAGCAGCAGCAGCAGCAGCGACCTGTCAGGCTTCCTCACTGACGAGGAGGACTGTGCCAGGGTCCAACCGCCAGCTTCGGCCTCGGCGCCGTCCCTCCCGGGCCGCAGGGGCGCACCCGGGATTCCCGGGGCGTCCGATACTCCCCAGGCGCAGGACGACGAGCAGGAGCGGCGGCGGCGCAGGGGCCGAGCGCGGGTGCGCTCCGAGGCGCTGCTGCACTCGCTGCGCAGGAGCCGGCGCGTCAAGGCCAACGACCGCGAGCGCAATCGCATGCACAACTTGAACGCGGCGCTGGACGCGCTGCGCAGCGTGCTGCCCTCCTTCCCCGACGACACCAAGCTCACCAAGATCGAGACGCTGCGCTTCGCTTATAACTACATCTGGGCTCTGGCGGAGACTCTGCGCCTGGCCGACCAGGGGCTGCCCGGGGGCGGTGCCCGGGAGCGCCTCCTGCCGTCGCAGTGCGCCCCCTGCCTGCCCCGGCCCCCGAGCCCCGCAAAAAAACTGCGCCGCCGCCGCCTCGCCACTCTCTGACCCCAGTAGCCCTGCAGCCTCCGAAGACTTCTCTTATGGCCCCGGCGACCCCCTTTTTTCCTTCCCTGGCCTGCCCAAAGATTTGCTCCACACGACGCCCTGTTTCATCCCTTATCACTAAGCCTTTTTTAGACACCATTGCCTTCCCCCTCCCCCCAAGCAACAGGCAGTAGATGGGGCCCCAGCTGCGGCCTCAGGACCCCCACTCCAGGCGGAGGGAGGAAGCAGGAGCTTTAAAGGGGTTGGGGATACCTGAGCCGCTTGTTAGGTCGCTGCACCCTCGCCGTGGCTGCCCCTTGGTCTGTTTCTCCAGCCCTCAACCCCCGGGCCCCTCCTGCCCGCCTCTAGACAGCCTTTCCTTTTGCACTTTCTGAACTCCACAAAACCTCCTTTGTGGCTGGCTCAGAGCTGACCCCAGCCACCACTTCAGTGTGATTTAGAAAAAGGACAGATCAGCCCCTGAAGACGAGGTGAAAAGTCAATTTTACAATTTGTAGAACTCTAATGAAGAAAAACGAGCATGAAAATTCGGTTTGAGCCGGCTGACAATACAATGAAAAGGCTTAAAAAGGAGAGACAAGGAGTGGGCTTCATGCATTATGGATCCCGACCCCCACCACTGCAGGCTTGCTCTAGGAAGAACCCGAGATTCTTGCGCAGCTATTCAGGCACCGGGCTGGAGAGTACTTTAATTTATTCAAGATGCTTCATTCATATGAAAATGTATTTTTGTACATAAAGAATTTATTCTATTATTATGAGCTATCAAAGTTTACATTTTTGTACTGCAGATGTTTCGTGTAAATAAAAACAAAAGTGCCACCAAGTTTCTTGCCTAATGTTGGTGTCTGGGGCTTTTCTTCCCTTCGCCTGGCAGGGCAACCACTAAAATGAAACATTATCCCCACCCACCTTCAAACCCTCCAGTCCTGTTTCAAAAACAATTTAAAAAAATAGAATGCACCTGATTTCCACCAAGAACCAGTCACAGACAGACTAGAGAGTTTGGGATCCATCATTTCCTTTCGCCTTGTAAACACAAGGGAGATCTTTCAGGCTCCCCATAAGCCAATTAAGACTTTTTAGTGGGGAATTAGCCCTGGATACGCAGCTACCTGTAGAGGTAGGGGCGGTGGGAGACTCTTTCTTTAAGGAACTCTACATCAGCTGGCTCTGTGTTTCAAAGAGAGGGGATTAAAAAGATCAATACAGTGTGACCACTGGCTAGGAAGTCCCAGTGACAGGTGGGCCCAGCCTGGGCAAGCAGAAGGGTCCACTCTTGTAACAGCCTATTTAGAGGGAGAAATTGATTTGTAAACAATGCCTCCAAATTGTTGTCCATTGAGGCTGGGATCACCCTGGCTGTGAAGTGTGGGATGAATTACACCGGTGTGGTGCCCCTGGGTGAGGTGTGCAGCTGCCCAAAATTGTAAGTTAGGGTGCCTGCACCTCCCCTCCCACACACATACATGCTGTGCCCACAGTGGGGGTGGGGGGACATGCGGTGGGCTCAGTCCTGGCTTGCTCAGCCAGTCCTCAGGGGCAACAGCCAAAGCTTTCATTTGCTGCCAGAGGAATCAGCAGCCCAAACTCAGTGGGAATTTTTCTGGCTGCAATGTGTTTCTCTGTTGTCTGACAATTAGCTAACAGCGCTGGCAAGTAGCGGCTTTTGTTTTAGATTTCAGAATGTGGATACATACAAGAGGTAGTTCCGAAAATGCTGTTGCTGCCCAGCTCACAAGTCACCCCACATTAAGACCCAAATTTACCCCCTAGGTTGCCCCTTTTCACAAATATTATGCAGCAGCAGGAGGTAGAAATGGGTTTAGGAAAATAGTATTCCATAGTATTAGAAAAATCATATCCTTGTAGGAGGTGAGTAGGAGCAGAAGTAAAGTCGTACCAGAAGTAAATCCAGCAATAGCCTTTTCCCTTGTGGAAGTGCTTTCCCTCCTCCCACACTCCATGTCCTGATGAGTTGGATCCGCAGAGTCATATACTGTGTCCCCACCAGGCATCTCTAAGCGCAGCCACAGGCAGGGAGCTCCCTTTCAGATAAAAATGGTTTTTTTGGAAGGTCCTGGAAAGTTGGATGCCTTCTCTCACTGCCCTCAGAGCAGAGACAGTCCTCCAAGAAAAGCTTCAGTTGTGAGGGCTCAGAATGGAGTTGCTTCTGCTAAAAACTAAAAGGAAAAAGTTGTGTCTCTTGAATGACCCTGCCTGGGGCCCCACTCTATTGTCTGTCTCAGAATTAATTCACCCTACTAGCTTTGCATTTTCCTATAGCAAAAGACACAAATGGTTTGCATTAGATTTTCTGCTCTTCGGTGCATAGGATGAGCTAACTGACTACCTCCAGTCTTTTGAGGGGCTCGGGCCGGGTCTGCAAGAAGTCTTTGCAGGTCCCCTACAAAGACTCGGCTCAGCTGTGATGTAGGTGTACATGTCCAGGCCAGAGGAAGAAAACGGCCCATTATGTTTACCATTGTCCAAAATCCTTGGGAAACCAGCAGCAAACAAGCACCACGAACACCCCTGGGACTTGTGGTGCCCCCAGCTGCAGAAGGAGCTTATCTCATAGAACTGTACACAGCCAGCACTGAAAACAGAAAATGTTACTACTCCCAAGACTGAAGAAGAGCAAACTGTATCTCCAACTTTGTTGTCAAAATAGGTTCACAACTCGGGGTGCTGGGCCCAGAGCACCTTCTATCTGAAGAAGCATCTTTAACAAGGTGGATTACTGGGGATGTCTCCACCCCTGCCAGTTAATACTGTTTTTCCAAGGAAGCAAGCGTATATGTGCAGCCCTTGGAGCTCCCAAATAGGAGAAACGAAGGATGATGACTAAAAAACGCTTATCTCCAGCTCAGGGGCCTCTTTCTTCTGGCAGCAAACTCTCATTCATCCATAGGCATCTGTGAAGGCAGGCTGAGGGTTACTGGAGTATTCTAATCAATTATAGAGCATAGCACTTCTCGCTGACAGCCATGTTTCACTTCCTCAACAGAATTTTCCTCTGAGGAATCATCAGGCATTTAGGAAGCCTTACTTATTCTCCACCCTGATCTCTATTTGCTTCTGTCGTGGCGTAACATGCCTATTTTTACACACTGCTTCCAAGCCTGTGAGAAAGCAGGACGAGGAAGATGGATGGCACAGCGAAATGAAGCGTTCACTCCATCTCTCGCTTCTTGAATGATCTTCATCAAGCCCTGCTGTGTGCCGAGCACCATTCTAGCCCTCATCTAAAAGGCACTTACATGTTAGTGGGGAAAGACAAAATAAACTGATGACAGCTTGTAGTAAATGCTGAGGAGAAACGAATAAAGTAAAAGAAGGGGAAGATGGAATGCCAGGGTGGGAGGGAGGTTGCTCTTTCAGAAAAGATGGTCGTGGAAAGGCTTTTAATGAGACGACATTTGAGCAGACGCTCAGAGGCAGAGAGAAAAGCGCAAGCCATGGCAGTATCTGGAGTGGGGAGCACCCCAGGGAGAAGGACCCAAGAGAGGAAAGCCCTGGCCATATCCCCCATGTGAGAGGGACGAGGAGCCTGACATGACTGAGGCGGAGGGCATGAGCGGGGGAGGATAGAGATAGCCAGGGGCAGGGTAAATTATGGTGGGCTTTATCAACTATTATAAGGACTTCAATTTTTTTTCACAAGGTAATTGGAAGATTGAAAGCAGAAGAGTGATGTGAATTGACTTATATTTTTAAAAGTCATGCTGATTATTACAAGGCTAGCAGACTTTAGGGGCCAGGGAGGAAGCAGGGACCCCACTAGGCATCTGCACATTAGTCCTGAAGAAACCCTTCCAGTGGTAGAGGGATGAAGAGTGGTCAGAACTAGGACACCTTTTGAAGATAGAAACACTATAATTTGGGGGCGGGGGGAGGAGGGGCACGAAAGAAAGACAGAAAGCAAGGATGACTCCAAGGATTTGGGTCAGGAGCAGTGAGCACACAGAACCCATCCCAAAAGGCTTCTACAAATGCTAAAGAGGAATGGTGAATTTTGCCCCAAACTGCTCATTTTAGCATCGAAGACAAAGATGGAAACATGCATTGCAGTGTCCATTAAGATAAAGGCAGATTGGTACTCAAGAGAATCATAACTTTTTCTGGGCTGGGGTCCTAAAAGAAATGCCTCAGAGAAAATTCATAATGGGAGTAGGTGGAAGGGGCTCATGATGTCATGGGCATCATCCTCAGTGACATCATCATCACCATCATCATCCTAGCTAACACTTTATAGCACTTACTCTATGTTCCATGCACTGTTCTAAATACATTACACATTTTAATCTATTTAATTCTCACAACCTATGAGGTTGATTATCTCTCATCTCCATTTTACAGATGAGGGATCTGGGGCACAGAGAAGTCAAATAACTTTCCTAAGACCACACAGCTAGTAAGTCACGAAGCTGGGTTTGAACCCAAGCAATCTGGCTCCAATGTTCCTGCTGCTTCTCAATCATCTCTCAAGGAAAGCAAATAAAGTACACCTAAGCAAAAACGCATTGTGGGCCACAAACTTAGCTTAGCTCAGAAGGCTTAGCTTTCTGAGACCCAGCCTGACCAGGAGTAAGCTTAACCATAGCTACAGACAGGGCCACAGCTGCCATACTGGGCCTTTGGATGAATGAGAAAACGGCTCATTCCCCCATTCTTCCCCGTGCACTGGCCCCCTTGGGGGCCGTAAATAGGGCACCGGCTATACAACCTTATCCAGCAGCCCGGCCTAGAGGCAGGAATGAGTCACTCGAATGTGCCTTTTCCCCACCAGAGGTAGAGGAAGCCTGCGGAGGATTTGGGATGAGTTCCCTGGCAAGGACCTGGGGTGTCACTGCTTCGGTTTGCAAAAACAGCAGAGCTAAGAGCCTGGTGACATCTGCTTGTGAAAAACCAGTCTCTTCACTGTTCACCTCTCTAGGGGCCTAAAAGGCCCCACATGTCTTACCAAGTTCTAGACTTCCTCTAGAAAAGTTTTTGGGGTTGTTCCAGCCTAGGCCAAGCAGGGAATTGAGGCTCTAAAGGTCCACACCAAACTGCCTAATGGTGAAGACTGGAGCCTAGAAGGTGCTTCTGCTAATTTTCACCAATTGCATGCATCTC